ACGCAGGTAAGAGATCTGCATTAGATAAGTTAATGTGGATGCACGTTATTGAAAGCATAGCTGTCTTTCAAATTTCGCGCCTTGTCCGTAGCTACACTAAGTGCAGTCCACAACCTGTTTATACTTACTTTGACATTTCAGACTCTTTCTCTTGCTTCATTACTGCAATTATCATTTGAAGTGTGAGTTGATAACAAATATTGCAGACATCCCATTCCAACCTATGACAGTCCCTTACTACACTCTGGGAATGGTCGACATGTGTGCCGCTTATAAGATGCTGCAAATCAATAATCGTGTTCTAGTAAGTTCTCAGATAAAGCTTTCTGCTTTCAATATGTCTACGCTCCCAACTTTTAGGTATACTACAAGTATGATACAATACCAGTCGACTGCGTTAAAATCTTCTCATCACCGGGTCGAAAGGTCGCTTTCCGTTTTCTGCAGGTAGGCTTCCTTTCCTAGGTTTCTTTCTTTTACCAAAGTGTTCACTTATTCAGGTAAATCTCTACTCATCGCCAGCGGATCTAGGCAGATCCGACGCTTTGAGAGTTTATGCATCAATAGCATTCATGCCAGTGACATTGCTGGCGGAGTACCGGTACGTTATTCCTGCCATTCAAAAGCTCCTTTCAAAAACTTTCTGCTTTTGTAGACTAGACCGTGAGTCTACCCCGTTCTCAAAAGCGGTTACTGCTGATGTTCTTGCCCTGCACTTTCGTGGCACTGCTGCTGATGGCCAGTACGGTTTCATTGCAGAGATATCAAGCATTCCAAGCAGCCCGGACTCGAGTAAGTTAGAACCTTAGTTTTTTAGAGCGCCAATAAAGCCGAGCAATATATCACATTCTTACAGGTGCTGTAGATCAGATTGTCGTTCGTGGGTCACGTATAGAAAACAATGATCAAGGTGCTATAGTGTATCACAATTCTGGTGAGATGAGCCCTGCAGTTGTCATTGGTAAGTGATAGCTCGTACAATAATTTTTACGTTCGGTTTGGTTTCATCAAAATCTGCCAAAAAC